CAAATCTCTCTCTGTTCATATTTGTAGAAAACTGAAAATGCAGAAAGTGGTCGACTTTGTATTCATCCGAACAGTGAGATCACAAGAACAGCGTGCAACGCCTGCAGAGTTCTGCAGTGTGTTTCCCCACCAGTGCGTAACTTTCCCAAAGTCAGCGTGCGAGCCAGGTGCAATGTGGAAAGCAGCATTTCTCCAACACTTGTCCATGGAATGCTTGCTGATGTTTGTAGAGAGCCAGCCAGTCCCCATGGTGCTGCCTTCCTTGCTTCTTTTCAGCTGCCAAATTCCACCAAGAGAGCTAAATATGCACGGGGGGAAGTAATGTTCATTTTTTGTTGCACACAAGTTCTCGTAGTTGCCACTGGGATTTTGTGTGACTGAGCAGGAAGAGAGGTGGTCTGTGTGATTTGCAAGCTGGAGGAGAGCTACCCAGGACAATCTCTAAGGCACGTTCATGCTTTTAAAAAGTTATCTGTGACCCAAAGGTAAATGTAAAAGCTCTGTAGTGGTTGATGTACAGGAAGCATCAAATCACGGCAGAAGACCCAACTAACTGCTTGAGCATTTGGTTCAGTCTGTTTGTCTGTAGTTCATCTGATGCCCCATAGCACAGATCCACTCCTATCGTTACAGAACATCCTCATTTGCATAGCTGTTGTCATACTAGTAACGTGATACTTATGATGTGGGTCTTCATTTGGAGCATGCCTTTAGTATAGGAGATTCCAGTTCGGATGGCAACGTTGTTGTTCAAAGATCATGATTGCCACTGCACAAGAGTTTCCCCTCCCCATAGACAAATCTGCATAGTCACAGCCCACAGCTCCTCATGTCCGTTTATCAAGCCCTAGAAACTATTTGTATGACTGACCCGATGTGGTGTTTGGAAGATAGGAGATCTATGTGGCACCTGTTTGCTCCCATTAATACTTAAAGCTGAGGTTCGTTCTTGCCAGGAAAGTTAGATGGTGGAATACGCTTGTATATCAGTTTTCTGCGGTTCATTTCCATGCTGGCTGGCGGACACTGAACTAGCTTTGCCAGATAGAGGGAGTGAAAGATTTTGTTTAATTTCTGAAGAGTGTAGGTTGTGGTATGACTTTGAGAAGTTATTTAGGCAGCTTTGTTCTGTGTCCGTCCCTATCTTACTGAATGTGCTTTACCTCCTCCTCCTTGTCCTTCGTGCCTGTGGCAGGGATGTGTGGGTTACATTTGTTCTCAGAAACATTTCTTCTGTTGCTGTTTCTGGCACTGGTTGCATCGGAGCTAACTGGACAAATTGTGCTTTTTGGGAAGTACCTTGAACCCAAAAGGGGATTTTTATATCTCGATGATAATTCCTGTGCGGGAATCTACAGATTCAATCAGAGGAGTGTGATGAAGCAGTGGTGTAAGCTCCTCTAAATAAGAATCTGTTAGTTTTAGGATTACAGGTTGGACCTACCTGGTCCAGCACCTTTGGGACCTGAGTAGTCCTGGAGGAGGGAGTTTGCTGGACCAGGGGAGGTCAGGCATGGGGCTCTCCCAGGCTCCTCTACTGGCCACTGGCCTGGCTAATGTGCTGTTCCCAGCCAGTGATAGGGCTTCACTCCCAGCTGCTGAATGGCTCTGGCCGTTGGGGCTCCCTCCCCCCAGCTGCCTGCGGCTTTGTGTTTTCAGCCTGTGGAGGCTTCCGCTTCCCTGGTCAACAGAGGCTTCTGCCTGGTCCTGCTCCAGCTGCAAGCTGCTAGCTGGGCTTCCTACCCCTAGGCCACCCTCCAGGCTGGCAACCTCTGTGGCTGGGCATCTCTGGTCAAGCAACATTCGTGGTCCGATGTTGCTAGACCAGAGAGTCCTGGACCACAGAGATTCAAGCTGTAGTTAACTGGTAGCACAACACAATGAATAACTATGGAAGACTCACGCTACGAGGAGTGGGGAAGGTTAAACAGACTGTTTCTTAAAGTCTATTAGTCAAGTTCTAAAAAGGGGCAGGAGAAAGCTAAAATTCAGAAGAAGATAAAATGACTTAGGAGCGACGTCACTCTGCTGCGAGATTGCATCAGTGCAAATCTTGGGAGACGCTCAGTAATCGTGCAAATCCTTGTAGCAAGAGAATGTGCAGATACTGCTGGGATGGGGACTGTCATGGTAGTACAACTTCAGTGCTGGATCATCACGACAGTGCTGCAGTTAGAACATGAGACTACGTATGGATAAACTGTGGGAGCTGCTGGAGATCCCATCATGTCCTTGTGACAGATTTCATTTAGGATTCTAGTATAATGGTTCCCAGCCTTTTTTATACTGTGGACCGGCAAACCCATTCACAAACTTTGGGTGGGCTGGTAACCTTTTATTTGCATATTCATTATGCAAATAATGAATATGAAAATACGCACATAAAATGTTACTGGTCTGCCAATGTATTCGAGCCCTGGCCCCCAGAGCCGCCGCAAACAGCCGACTTCAGCTCTGGCAGCCATGTGCTCAGGGTATACCCCTACCCCAGCCCCATGGGTGTGACCTGGCAGTGTGCTGCAGCCCAGTACTTGGTGGTTGAGAGTGACTGCTCTAGCACATTCAGCCCTCCGTGTCCAACATTTGCTCAGTCCCTGTGCCGCAGATGTTGTTAACCTTCCAAAGCCTACAAACCATTGGGAATGTTCCGATTAATTTTCACACAAAGGAATAGGGTCTTCATCAGGGAAAGATCAGAACAGTAATTACACAAATAGGAGTTTACTGCTTGGCAGACAGTGGAGGCAATATGAAAATTATCACTGTCCATGCTGCTGCCAACATCATTCTCCAGATCAATCCATTTTCTTTAAAAAGCGGCATACAACGTGCCAAGGCCACAAGTTCATGTAAAAAACACCTGCATAACTTTATTAACGTACACCAGCAGTGGGCAGCCACAGATCGTGAGTGGGCCTCATGAGTGGCCCTCCATCTCAGTGAGCCGCAGCCACGTGTAGCCCACTCGGATGCCACCTGCAGCTCTGTCTGCCCCCATCCCCCATGTGCTCTGCACACTGGGGCACCAGAGCCCTGCACTTCCTACTCCTGTCTCCCTCCCAGTACTTTTGGAGCACCACGAATCGCCTGACTTGTGCTCCATCCCCAGTCCGCCCTCTCCCTCACAGAGCTTGACCAGCCACGAACAGCTGATTTATGGTGGCCCAGGTCTGGGAGGGAAGGGAAGGAGTGGGGGGATGGAGCATGAATCAGGGAGTTCGTGGTGCTCCAAAAGCGATGAGACTTAGAAAGTGTGGGATACTGGTGCCCCATGCGTGAGAGGAGCATGCGGGTGGGCAGCAGACAAGTTGCTCACCACTGAAATAAACCATTGTTTTGTATCCCATCTTGAGCCACATTAGTGGTCACTGTTGCACTTTTTTCTAATTTTGAAGCAGCAGTGGGATTAGAATTCAAATTCTCAGTCTTCCAAAGTACCGATCCCTGCCCCTTGTACTCAAGAGGAATCTGTGTTAACGCCTGGCATCTGACACGGCTGATCAGTTACAGCTCCTTCCAGCAGCAGTGGCATGCGCATGCTAGTTCATTTGCGGGATGCTACAGCTCGGGTTTCCTAACCGATTGCATAATGGTGTCAACAACCCAGCTTCTGTGCTTTTTGCAAGTAAACCTGTGTATCTGCGCCCACAACTATCTGCGCAGAAAATATCAAGTTTCAGTCTGCACTTTGACAGCTGTGGCATTAAGACCTCCATTGTCAGCTGTTCGAGATGGCGGGGTCTCCAATCAGCACCTCAGCTTGCCCCTCCCCTAAGGAAGAGGTTAGGACTGGATGTAAACTCTTGTCTCAGGCTCTTTTAGTTTTAATACAAAACCTGAGGCTCTTCATTATGTAGCACCCATGCTCATACTTTATCTGGCCTTGAGTTGATCATAGCAGATACTGTACTGCATAACAACAATACTTGCTGTGTCAAAGCTGGGGATGTAAGCGACTAGTCAACTATCTGATGAGCAAAAGCGTATCAGATAGTAGTCAAGGGACTAGTCGACTTGCTTCCGCTTCCCCTTGCTGCCTCCGTCAGAGGCAGCAAGATGGGGGGAGCAGGAGCCAGTGTGTGTGTGTGTGTGTGTGAGGGGGGGGGTTAAAAGCCGGTTCCCCCCAGCACTGTTTCTGGGGGGAGATAGCGGGGACTGGGTACGAGCTGGGAATCAGCTGATTCCTGGCTCACACGCTGTCCCAGATGCTGCACCTCTGCTTTGTAAAGTGTTGAGCCTGCCAGCTCTTAATACGTTTAGAAATCAGAAGCTCAGCGGAGGGGACCCGGCGGAAGCTGGGACAGCTGATTCTCGGCTCGTGCTAGGTCCCTACGCTGCGCACCAGCCTTTTAAATGTATTAAGACCCAACAGGCTCTTTAAAAGGCTAAAGTGCAGCGTGGGTGGGCCTGGCACGAGCCGGGAATCAGCTGTCCCGACTCATGCATGATCCCCCCCTCTGCACTTCAGCCTTTTAAATGTATTAAAAGTCGTCAGGCTCTTAATACATTCAAAAGGCAGAGCCGCAGTGGGGTTAGCTCCTGGGGCCAGAGCTGACCCCGCTGCGGCTCCCCCGCTTATTGACTAATTGATGGAAAATCCATCGACTAGTTGATCAGTTGATTAAAGGAAATTTATCATCCCTAGTTAAAGCTCTTCCCAGGCATTATGTAACAGCCACATACCAGTCTGGTGAACTAAGCGTTACCCCAGTTGAATGTCAAACTCTGCCTCAGATTTTAAGTGATTTCCCCAAGATCACGGAAGGAGACCCGTTAGAACTGAGACTAGAACTTAGAGCCTCCTGACTTAAGACCTCAAAGTTCAGACCTAGCTCTTTAACTTGGGTCCCATAACGTCCTATCAGGATTAAATCCAGCATGTGACTGCCAGCCATCCCCAAATAATTACCACCTAGCAGAGGGAATGAAAAAACTCAATCCCTTCTGACATTGCTGGCCGCTGCAGTCATTTCAGCAAGGGAAAAGCTTCTGTAAAAGTGCTGACAAAGCAGGAGATGAAATTTTTTAAACCCATCATAGGAAGCAAATTGTGCATCAAAGCAAGTCTCAGCTGTATTGGTCTGAGTCTTTGCTTATCCTTGTCGAATTAAAAGCAACAAGCAGAAGGCTGACATTGTGGATGGCTCTGCGTGCGGTATGTATTAATGCCCTGCCCTTTGTGGAGAAGGGGATTTGAGTTTCTCTTTACAATGTCAAGGAAAGGTTAGGGGGCTTATGCTGTTCTGTGGAGATTAGGCATTATGTAATGATCCCAGTCTGAATCAACGGGATTTGTGTTATCACATGAAGGGTATTATGAAGCTGTCGGTAGAAGTTAATAAAAGTTGTTTTGCTTGGTAAAGGGTGGTCTGTTTATACTGCACTATCAATAGCAATGAAATGGACATCATGTTCCAATGGGAAGCAGCTTTTTCAATGTCACTTTATAAAACCGAGGGACAAAACTTTTCAGTGTGGAGTGAAGGAGATGGCAGTCAGTCAGATGGTAGCTGTATGATCCCTGCTGGCTTGGCTTTATTATTCTCCGGCTTGACAGAATGTAGTGAAACTGTTAGCATTAAAACACAGCAAAACCCCACAAGAGTTTCCATAGAGAGATTGAGACCAGTTGGTGCTGCCATTCCAAAATCCTTGCTGGCTACTCTTCAAGACTGCTGTTGATGCAAATGGCCTATTTATGAATAGACAGTACTCCCCGAGGAAGGCATGCAGCGCTGTATAAATATCTACTTTGTTTAGGTCACACACAGAAAGTGAGCCATTCTGAACAGGGTGATAAGAGTTCAGATTTTCACTGAACAGCCCCATATTTTAATGGAGTTCATTCTTAAAACAGAGTCCAGCGTTAAAAGAGGGTGTCCCAGATAATAGTTTGCATCTGCTAATGGATGCTGATTCAGGGTATCCATGTCTGGATGCTAATGAAATATACTCAAGGTGTGGGTGTGGGGGTGTGTGCGCGTGTGCGCGCGCGCACACATTAGGCTGTTCCTGATCAAGGCTAAATTTGACTGAAAAATGGTGAAATCACACCTGAAGAATAAGACCCTTTATTATAGATAGCTCACAAAATAAACAGCGTTCAGCTGGATATAGCTATGACCACAGCTCATGAGCCTGCCATACCCTTGTCTGCTGTCAGGCCTGTACTTTGCTGGCTTTAGGATGATTTCAAAGTTCCCTCAGCTAATGGCTTGTTGGGGTGGTTCAGTGAAAGCGAGTCGGTTTCATAGGCAACAGCACATAGGGAAAGGATGTGGCCAGTGTCGTCACTCCACCCCTAGGGGTCAGGTATCCCTCTGGTAGTGGGGTGAGCCCAATTTCAGTGAGACTGACTGACTGATGCTCAGATCAACAACCTGCAGGAGTGAAGCCTTGACTCTCCAGCCCTCGCACCTCTGTGGTGGTTTGAATGCAGGCTAATTCAGTGTGAGGCTGAGGACTCATTAGCCCCTAAAGATAAGCCTGAGGAAGGTCTGAATTTTCTTAGAGTAGTAGGTGATTGGAGTCACTTTTGTTTTCTAAACTCCTTTTGAATCACTAGTGTAAAGTGCACCGTGCCACATACCCCGAAAGCGTGGAGCCCGTTGCATGTGGTTTAACCCGTGCAATCACTCCTTCGATCCAAGTGACCGTGCCGAGCATTTCTCTTCCCCTCATGAGCAGTGGGAGTTGCTGATACCGAGGTGAAGCGCTGAAACCAGACAGGAAATCACTTCTTCTGTTGTATTAAGTATCTGCACTGTTTTTTGTGCAAGATCGTGCATATGGTCCAGAGGGCCTTTGCTTTTCAATGGGTCATCCACAACAGTGAGACATAATGCACTGAGAGCTACAGAAGGTGGTTTCACTGGATGGCTCAGGGGGCACTAGTTGGTTGAGCTGCTCCTGAAAATGGATAAGGATCAAGTGCGTCCATGCTGCTATTAGTTATCAGCTGCCCTCTGTACTATCCAGGCCTGCAGCAGTGGATGAGAGAGTCTCCAGATAAGAGATCCCTGAGTGTCCGTGGTGGGTCCTGTGGGGCTGGAGCAGCCCCCTACCTGCAGAGGGTGGGGAGCTGCTCCAGCCCCCATTGGTTTACCTTAATGGGTGATGCTTACCGGTTAACCATTCACATCCCTCGCAGGGTTGGGTAAGTGTTCTTCTGCCTCAAGAACTTTCCTGCATGGTGTACACTGGAATGCTCTTCCCTCTCCCCCCCGTCAAGTGTTAATGAGGACCTGGGGGAAACCCTTCTGGTTGCTACTGATGCTCAGTTCTACATCTCTTGCTTTTATCCAGCAAGGGAAATAGTTGAATGACTCTGCATAAAACAGGGGTATGGATGCAAACAAGCCGAGAGAAAAAGCCTCTAAGCCTGATGGGGTTGCGGGAGGCTGGAGAATAGCAACTGGAATATTTGGAGTTCTGGGAGTGTCCATCTGCTATTTGTTACCAGTGTTCGCAACTCGGGAGCCGTATCAGATCCTTGTCTGCTCTGATGCAATCAGATAGTGGGGTTCTGGACAGCTTTCTCCCGTCTGCTTCCCGCTTGGGGATCAAACTCTTCTAGCACGTGGAGCTGGCTTCTAGGGTCGCCAACTTTCTAATTGCACAAAGCCAAGCACCTTGGCCTGCCCCTGCCTCGCCCCTTCTCCAGGGTCCCTCTCCCTGCCCATTCCATCTCCCCTCCCTCCATCACTTGTTCCTCTCCCACCCCCACTCACTTTTACCGGCCTGGGGCAGAGGGTTGGTATTTGGGAGAGTGAGGGGTGTAGGCGATGGCTCTGAGCTGGGGCATGAGGTTGGAATGTTGGAAAGGGTGCAGGCTCTGGGATGGAGTTAGGTGTGTGGGACGGGGTATGCAGATGTGGTCGCCGCCTCAAAAAAGATCTATTGGGAACCAGAAAAGGTTCAGAAAAAGGCAGCAAAAATGTAGGGGTATGGAATGAAAGCCCGCTGGGGAGAAATGAATAAGATTGTGACTTTTCAGCCTGGAAAGGGGAGGCGACTAAGGAAGGATAGGACAGAGCTGTATAAAATGATGACTGGTGTGGAGAAAGTAAGTAAGGAAAAGTTATTGACTTGTTTCCATAACACAAGTAGGAGCGGTCTCCACATGTAATGAATAGGCAGCAGATTTAGAACCAATGAAAGGAAAGTATTATTTCACACCTCACACGTCCGCCTGTGGAACGCTTTGCAAGAGGATGTTGTGAAGGACAGGATTTTTACACGGTTGAATAAAGAACCTAGTACATTTCTGGAGGACAGGTCCATCGATGGCTATTAGCCAGGGCTGGTGTCCCTAGCCTCTGTTTGCCAGGGCTGGGAATGGGCAATGGGATGGATCTCTTGATGATTGCCTGTTCTGTTCATTTCCTCTGGGGTGCCTGGCAGTGGCCGCTGTCAGAGGACAAGGATGCTGGGTTGGATGGACCTTTGGTCTGACGCAGTATGACCATTCCAATGTTAAGTGCCCAGAGTGTCTGGCTCTTATACAGAGGGTGAGATGGCTCTCCACTACCTACACCTGCAGGTGTCATCTTTGCCTTTCCTGTTGGATGCATTCCTGGTCAAAGGGAGTTGTGTAACAGAGGCGGTGGCAGGAAGCTGCTAGCCCCAGTTCTGGGGCTGCTGGTGGTGGCTCCCAGCTCCACTGGGGCAGCCCTCTGCCTGTGGCAGGCTGTGGGGGAGGGGGGAGGAATGGAGAGGGGCACTGGTTAACCAGTTACTCGGTAAGCATCACTGGTTCCCTGTTCAAACCCTTACAGCCTGTCGAGCAGTGTTAAAACAAAGAGCAAGGGTTGCTAGTTTGCCTGTTTGAAGAACTAAGCTAGAGTTATGTCTGTTCCCTCTTGAGCACTTAGGGTATGTCTAGACTACAGGGCTCCGTCGACGGAACCATGTAGATTTGTTTATTGGGCAAAGGGAAATGAAGCGGCGACTTAATCGCCACTTCCTTTAAATTTAAATGGCTGCCGCACTGAGCCGACAAAGAGCTGATCAGCTGTGTGTTTTTGTGCAACAAGTAACAGCTTATCAAATAAAGCTCAGGCATCAAGAGAAGCACATTAATGCAATAGATGTTTAAAACCCTATAGGAACTAGGAATGAGTAACTCTCTCACCTGCCCACTATACCAAAAAAGCTGCCCTTGGAACATGGCAGCCATTTGCAGTGAGAACAACCATCTCATTCTATTCCAATTCGTGACTTCCCATGGCCCTTTTCCCACCCCTTCCAAAACCCTCATCTCCACCCAGAAGCCAAATGCCAGCTGATGCGGTACTGGTGTAACAAGTTCACTCGTGGGGTCACACCATTCAGTTGGAATTCATCTTCCTGGAAGAGGCCATGTCTTTCTAAACCTTCTGAGAAGCACCCAGCACAATTTTGGTCTTATAAAATAATCAGTCACTATGGCTGTGTCTAGACTACATGGCTCCATCGATGGAGCCATGTAGTCTAGACACAGCCATAGTGACTGATTATTTTATAAGACCAAAATTGTGCTGGGTGCTTCTCAGAAGGTTTAGAAAGACATGGCCTCTTCCAGGAAGATGAATTCCAACTGAATGGTGTGACCCCACGAGTGAACTTGTTACACCAGTACCGCATCAGCTGGCATTTGGCTTCTGGGTGGAGATGAGGGTTTTGGAAGGGGTGGGAAAAGGGCCATGGGAAGTCACGAATTGGAATAGAATGAGATGGTTGTTCTCACTGCAAATGGCTGCCATGTTCCAAGGGCAGCTTTTTTGGTATAGTGGGCAGGTGAGAGAGTTACTCATTCCTAGTTCCTATAGGGTTTTAAACATCTATTGCATTAATGTGCTTCTCTTGATGCCTGAGCTTTATTTGATAAGCTGTTACTTGTTGCACAAATCTGTCGCTGCTTACATTAGAATTGAAATAGTAACTGCTGCTGGCACTGAACGCTAGTATTATTTTGGTAACTTCTATCAGAGCTCTTGGTTTTCTCATTACTTGCTGCTTTTGCTACTTTCTCTCCTGTACCATCTTGCTTAAGTTTTGTATAATTTAATGAAATTGTTCTGTGTAAAGGTGTTAACAGCCATTGAGATTGTTACTGGAGACTTAGGTCTCTAAACAGGTATTTTTGCCTTTATCTTGGGAGTTCTTTTGATATTA